TATTCGAAAGACAAAAACACTAAAAAAAAATATTAGCCAGAGATACTAACCATTTAGATGAATACTATTTCTTTCACAGACATGCTCAACTCGCAATTTGTCTGACGTAAAATGGGATATTCATTGCAATGCGCCAGTTGCATACCCTTATCTTGTAGTAGACATCATACAGAAACATTGTCAAAATTATTTCCCGTGTGTAAACCCCATAATGTATATTTTCCCCTTGACTTGCTTAAGTAACAACTCCTGTTACACGTTTGCGGTTGTGGTACAAGTAATTCAAGTGTATGGATATAGAAAGTGTCCTGTGTAGTCCTTGAATTTTGATAGATAAATACAATTTATATAATATATATCTTGTTTTTATTCATTCCGATGTGTGAAGTGATAGCAGCCATACTTATGGTCAGTATCTTGTTGATCATGACAATCCAAAATAGATGCATACGTGTCTTGCATATCATGTGACAGCGAATGTATTCTTCAAATGTCTTTATTTCTATAACTGTCATGATTCAAACCTAGCTTGGCAATTTTTTTCAATAGTTGAGGAAGAACTCGCATTCACCTTGACACTAAAAAGTGTGTGTAACTACCGCGTGATATGGATGTTATTGCGACATTTCACATTCTAAAATGGATTCCACAGCAACGCACTCTGACGTCAGTATTGAATGTTTATTAGGACATAAACAAATACACATGGTTTTTATTGATCGAACGTTTTCCATGTAGTTTTGTCTGTGTTGTTTCGAGAAAATATTTTAGCGGACTTAATCATTGCTGTATTCTTATGTTTCACAGCGACGAGTGGTATTTTGTTTTAGGCAGACGATGTGGTGACCAATTTGGCTTTTAGTTTTTAGCTGCGCTGTCGACTTCGTTGAGTGGAGCTTATCATATGAGTGATTGTACGTCACGTCGCCGTCTGTGTCAATGTTATACTTTTTTGACTTCTTGAAAACTACAAGCCTGAATACTGCCTGGACCTCTTTCCGATTCGTTCATTTTGTGATGATATCTTTAATTCTATAATTTTGGTGAATATTGTCAAATTCTTGTTGAAAACAGCAAGTCCGATTGCTTTGATACTATACATATTGTTCATTTTCTCATGATATCTTCTGTGCATTGCTAACAGCGGAACTATCTCGGCCGAAAGGCTGCTTGTTTGTTTTTTATTTTACAAACATTAATTTGCCTTTCGAAAATTTGGAATTTAAACGTTAAAATTTGCCTGTAAATTAAAATCGAATCAATGTGGTTGTACAAAAAACAAACACAGTATGTTTTATTTCCGGTGTCACCATTTCAAAGCCAGGAACAGCTTGTGTGAATCATGATAAACTACTAGTAAACGGGAGTCTGTTATGCATGTTTCCGTTCTCAAATTATTATTTTTTCTTTGCTGGATACAGTTTTAAAAAAAAATATGCAAAAATGTTGTTTATGTGGAATAATAAAAAAAAAACATATATTTGTAAGGTAAAATTATAGTTGAGGGTTGACTAAAAAGTTGAATTTAGCACATAGGCAAACTTTAGTTATGAATTAACCATAGTGCTACATGTAATTAAGGTAGCGGGACTATTATTTGCATACTTGTTTTCATCTTCTATTTGTGACTAAATGACTACAAATAGACCCAGGAAAGTATATATTTTTAGAATCGCCAGACTTCAAGCTTTTCACAAGTGTATTTTGCATGCCCGTATCTGCATTCTACGACGCGTTACTCAACCAAAGGTATGTATGATGTATGTGCCAAATACGAATGAAAATGGTACATAAATTGTGGAAATATAGTAGTAAGGCCAAAAAGTCAGATGACTGTCAATCGGCCATCCTTGACCTGATTTTGTAACAAATTGTCATGGACATGCATCCTAACATGTATAAAGTACATGTACGTGCCAAATTTGAATGAAAACTGACAGAGCACATCCAAGATACCGACTTCGTCCGAAAGGGGACTAATAATTACGCATTTATGCTGGCGATAAGAAGTATTTTTTTCACTTTTCCTAGTCGTTCAATAGTCTGGTAAATTGAATGTGTCTGGTCAGTTTTATTCAAGCAATGCGTTTTAAAAAATAGTGTGCTGAATTTCAATTACTGTTTTAGTTGCATTGCCCCCAACTCAAGCCACAACTCGTTGGTAAATAATCGATGAAATAGTTTGTCTGGACACATTCAAGTTCCTCTCACTGTCACCTTAAAGCTGTGAAAATTTGGTGTTAATCAGACCTTGTATTTTGAAAAACATAAACTCCTAGAAAACTTCCATGAAGTAACAGCAAAGATTTTCAAGCTTGTTTATCGGCACAATCAATTTGTTTTCCCATCAAGGTCTGTTTTAACATGTGTAGGGACATCCAAATGTGTAAGGCTATTGGAAACCAAAAAATAAAGAAATGGGATAGCTATAATTGGATAAAATCGGCAGATGAAAACACCAAAATCGATGATTTTTGTCAGTGGCTGTGTGACCTTGTGTCTGACACATTCATATGCAAATAAGGGCGGAGACAAACCACTCAAATGTTTGGAAACACTAAATAAATAAATGTGAAAATCGTAATTTTCAACACAAATAAAAGTCTCGCTACCTTAAAGGTGAATGCAGTAAAATAAATAGTACCCTAATTGTGTCTTTGATAAGGGCAAAACGGGGTGATCGCTGCATTTTTTAGTACAAATGTCTCACTTGGGGCAATTGAACAATTTTCATCCAATGAGACACTCTGTATCTATGCAAATAAGACCTAATTTGCATATTGATTAGAAAATTCTGAAAATATTATTAAAAAATATATATTCATCCAAAACAATCATCTATCTTGGTATAAACTTTCTATGAAGCAAGTAGAAAAGTATTTATGCAAATAACCACCCTACTTGAATAAATTATGCTAGTTAGTACTTGGAAATTATCAAGGTTTTTGTGATTTTTTATGCACTGAATTTTTTGGTACAAACATCCTACTTGGCAAACATGCTTTCTGGATCAAAAAAAAAAAATATAAATAACACCTAATTAGCATATTAGTAACTAAATATACCAATAGGCTTAGTGTTCTAGGTTTCTTTGCGTAATTAGGTGTTCGTATGCAAATTTTACGAACAGGTTGACCTGTGACACGTCTTTTCTGCGTCGGATGACAGAACTAAGATTACAGATTGTAGACGAAGAAGGGTCAGCGCATGGACTTGCCTCCAAACGATCGCTTCAGACAATTAGTACTAGAGAACATGTGTTTAAATACAACCGGTTCTACAGTGAAAGCAAAGATTTTTATTCTTGATAAAAAAAAAAAAAACACTGCTAAGACGGTTGTATCGTTAACGAGCGGTGATACTAGAACCCGAACCAAATTAATTGATGTTTCTGTGGAGGAAAAAATAAAGCAGTGCTGACACCAGTATTAAAAATAAACACGAAGATTCACCAACGATTGAAACTCGACGTGACATGCTACAGGAAAAAATAGAACATCTCGTTT